GGTTACAAGTCCATCTCCAGAGATCTTAATGTTCCTGTGTCCACTGTGCACAACACTGTCAAGAAGTTTACAGCCCATGGCACTGTACCTAATCCCCCTGGACGTGGATTAAAGAGAAAAATTGATCAGATTGCAACAAAGGATTGTTCGAATTTTGAATAAAGAACCTCGATCAACTTCTGGACAAATTAAAGCTAACATTCAGGCACAGGGTACAACTGTGTCAGCTCACACTATACGTCGCCATCTCAATGAAAAGGGAAGCTATGGTAGGAGACCCAGGAGGACCCCACTGCTGACACAGACACATAAAATAGCCAAATTGGAGCTTGCCAAAACCCAAAAAAGCAAAAATCTTTATGGGAGAATGTGCTGTGTACAGGCAAAACAAAGTTAGTTTTTTTAGTTTTAGCCCTCATTCTACTGCTTTCAGAAAAAGAAATGAGGCCTTTAAAGGAAAGAATACAGTCAAACATGGTTGGAGGTTCACTGATGTTTTGGGGTTGCTTTGCTACTTCACTCGCTGGATGTCTTGATCATGTGTATGGCCTTATGCAATCTAAAGACTGAATTTTCGGGTGCAATGTAGGGCCCAGTGTCAGAGAGTTGGGTCTCTGTCAGAGGTCATGGGTTTTACAGCAAGACAATGACCCAAAGCACACGTCAAAAAGCACCCAGAAATGGTTTCAGACCAAGCACTGAACTGGCCAGCAATGAGTCCAGATTTCAGTCCCATAGAGTAACTGTGGAGAGATTTCAAAACAGCAGTTAGGAAAAGGAAACCCTTGCAATCTGAGAGACCTGGAGCATTTGGCGAAAGAATAGTGGTCCAGAATTGCAGTAGAGAGGTGTAAGAAACTCATTGATGGTTACAGGAAACAATTGAATTCACTTTTTTTTTTTTTTCTTCAAGGGGTGTGCTACCAAAAACTACATTGAGGGTGCCAATTTTATGCAGTCCATTTTTGGGGTTTTGTGTGTAATGTGTCAATTTGGCTTTTTGCTTCTCCACTTTTTTGTGTCATACCTATACAAACAAAAGAAATAAACACGAGGATGCCTAAACACTTGTAATTGCAACAATTTTTTGGGCAAAGTGGTGCATTATATGACAGAAATGCAGGAGTGCTAATATTTTGGGCCATGGCTGTAAGGGACTTTTTCAATCTAAAAAAAAAATTAAAGATATTGCCAGTAAAAGTGATTCCCCTTAGGGCAGTGGTTCTCAACCTTTCTAATGCCGCGACCCCTTAATACAGTTCCTCATGTTGTGGTGACCCCCAACCATAAAATTATTTTCGTTGCTACTTCATAACTGTAATTTTGCAGTGGGAGGAGTAGTGCCACGTCATTGGTGTCAGTGGGAGGAATAGTGTCCCATCACTGATGTCAATGGGAGGAATAGTGCCCCATCATTGGTGTCAGTGGGGGGGAATAGTGCCCCATCATTGGTGTCAGTGGGGGGAATAGTGCCCCATCATTGGTGTCAGTGGGGGGAATAGTGCCCCATCATTGGTGTCAGTGGGGGGAATAGTGCCCCATCATTGGTGTCAGTGGGGGGAATAGTGCCCCATCATTGGTGTCAGTGGGGGGAATAGTGCCCCATCATTGGTGTCAGTGGGAGGAATAGTGCCCCATCACTGGTGTCAGTGGGAGGAATAGTGCCCCATCACTGGTGTCAGGGAGGAAAAGTGTCCCATCACTGGTGTCAGTGGGAGGAAAAGTGCCCCATCACTGGTGTCAGTGGGGGGAATAGTGCCCCATCATTGGTGTCAGTGGGGGGAATAGTGCCCTATCATTGGTGTCAGTGGGGGGAATAGTGCCCCATCATTGGTGTCAGTGGGGGGAATAGTGCCCCATCATTGGTGTCAGGGGGAGCAATAGTGCCCCCATCATTGGTGTCAGGGGGAGCAATAGTGCCCCCATCATTGGTGTCAGGGGGAGCAATAGTGCCCCATCGTTGGTATCAGGGGGAGCAATAGTGCCCCAACATTGTTGTCAGTGGGTGGAATAGTGCCCCATCGTTGGTATCAGGGGGAGCAATAGTGCCCCAACATTGGTGTCAGTGGGAGGAATAGTGCCCCATCGTTGGTGTCAGTGGGGGGGAGGAATAGTGCCCCATCATTGGTATTAGTGACACCAATGATTGGGCAATATTCCTCCCACTGACACCAATGATACTTACCTTGCTGTCCCCTGCTCCAGCCTGGGCTCGCTCGCTCCCTCCCTCTCCCATGGTACAGACACTTACCGGTCAGATGTCTTCCTTCTCCGGCCGCTCTCCTCCTCTTCACTCCTCTTCACTCGCTCGATTCGCGGTGCCGCTCGGCTCCTCCTTTCCAAGCTCCACCTCCTCGCCGGTGATTGGCCTGTGTGCCTTTCCTGAGCTACAGTTCACCGACGAGGATTGATCCCGGGGGTGTGTCCAGATGACAGGGACGGCATGTCATCCCGCCCACACCTGGAGACGGATAGAGGAGCGGTTTCTCGGTTCCTAAGGCCATCGGAAATATGTGTTTTCCGATGGTCTTAGGCGACCCCTGGGAAAGTGTCGTTCGACCCCCAGGTTGAGAACCGCTGCCTTAGGGGATATGTTTGTTATGGTACCTGCCAAAAAACAATAGTTGGAAAATTACATATATTTAGCAAAAGCATCAAAGCATTTGGCTATGCAACTGACTCCCAAGACTCTGGAATGAGTTGTTTTTTTTTTTCTGTTTGTTTTTTAAGATCCTAGATGCCAGGAAATTTTACTTACAGATGACCTTGCAGGTTTTGACAACGGATGATAGCTTTGTAGGTAGAAGAGGTGTTCTACAAAAGTGGTTCAAAGAACATAGTCCTTAAAAGAACAGAGGTTGTCAATCAACCTCCTAGAACTTCGGGCAACTCTGCTTGCCTCATCAGCATTGGTCCACCTGTCTTAAGGGTGTCTCCAACAGGGTGCAGTGGGACATTGTTACGAAGATGGCCTATGTCAACCTTCAAAGAAAAATAGGAAATTGTGATGTTCAAAAGTAACCTTGTCCTGAACAGAACTCCATGTTTTGCGTCTCTGGCATGCACATTACAAGAGTGGAAAATTGTCAGGCAGACTTTCTCAGGTTACTAGGGCTAAGGAAAGCCCAAAGGAAGGTTACAAGGCAGACCAAGCGGCTTATACAGAGAAACAGGCAATAAGGCAATAAAGCCTGTTTCTTTGTTTAAGCCACTTGGTCCGCCTTGTAACTTCATTTCGGGCTTTCCTTAGCCCTAGTTGTCTGTTAATTAGCCGTGAGTTACGCGGATTGCACCATTCACTTGCTGTATTTTTTAGGTGAGTCAGGTTCATCACACGGATTTTAATAGACTCTTTACCAGGTGATAGGGCAATTGCTTTGTGTTGGTCCATGGCGTCATTTTTAACTTTTCATTATGAGACTTTCTCGGGTGTCAACAGCTGAATGTGGGCAAGTGGGCCCGAGGTGTTTGCAGTAATTTGTATCTGGTGCGGCATACAGGATGTGGATTTCTTTGTGTCCAGATTTAACACGAAGCAGAGCACGCATTTGACCTGAACCAGTGATGCTCAGGCATTTGCTGTGGATGCTCCAAAGACTCCTTGAGATCTGTTCTTCCCCTATTTATGCATTTCCTCCACTGCAATTTCATTATCTGTTGCACAGGATAAAGGTTATGATCAATCCAGTCATTCTGATCATAACAAGTTTCCATCCTAACAGTTGCTGGTTGTGACAGCATGGCTGTTGCAGCCCATGTCCTAAGCAACAGGGGTATTTCTGACTCTGTAATTCCTATCCCTCTTAGGACAAGAAAGTTGACCCCCAGGAGGGTGTATCATCATACATGGAAAAGCTTATTTCTCCTGGTATGAAGCTCACAGGTTTCATTTTATGCTTTGTGGCGTATTTTTGATTTTCTACGATCTGATGTTGAGGTGTCTCTGGCCTTACGTACAATCAAGGGGCAGATTTCCGCTTTGGCCATTCTGTTTCAGATACCTATCAGACATCATTCCTCTGTAAAAGTTTTTGTGCAGGGTGTCACATGAAGTGTTCTGCCTCTGTAGCCCTCTTTGTCTCCCTGTGGTAGCGTTGTCTTCTCTTTTTTTTTTTTTTGCTAACAGACTTATCCATTTTGAGCATACCCAAGAGAGTTCCTTGTTACTTTTTCTCATTTCCCCTGAATCAGGATATTGTGATACCATCTTTTTATCCTAATCCCAAGCATCCTATGGAGATGTGCTTCTCTCTGGATGTTGATTGAGCTGTTCTGACTTATTTGATGCATACAGTTTTTTGGCTGGCATGAACTCAGTTCAGTTCTGGAGATTACTCTGTGCCTAGCATTCTGGCTTTTTGTCACAGGTCTTGACCAGAACGTAAAGGGCTGGCTTCACACTAACCCAATCTGAGTATATCCAAGTCAAAAATATATATATGTATTTTTTTTGGGCGGGGTTGCTCTCTCAATTAACCCTGGAGACCACTGTCACTAGGACTGAAAGTGAAGGAAAATCTAAAATTTTGCTTTGACACCAGAATGAATGTGCCAATTGCTGCTCTATTCCTGTTCTGGTGATATTTCCCGGTCTTGAAAATATTTCCTCTTCCTATTTCTACAGAGTAGGAAGTGAAGGGAAGTCTTCCCCGTGGGACAGGGAATTGACACCAAAATCTTACAGGGTTTTTATTTTCTTTTTTTTTTTTTTTTTCTACCTTTCCTTACTCTATGAAAATTGAATTGCCTTTGGATATACTATTACTGCTGCATAAGTTTGTGAGTTAAAACAAGCACTTTAAATGAAAGTTTAAACTTTACTGGAATCCATACTTTAGTCTGGATTACTGACTAAATAAGTAGGGAATCCAGAATGAACAAAATCACCAGTGATAGTTCTGATATTAATATCTTTATTGTAAACTAACACATCTGTGTGCCTGCATTCCTTGACCAATTTCATTTTTGTTATAATAGTTTTCTTTTGCCTCATGTTATAGGAATTGATCAATATGACCGTGACAGTATAATCAACGACTTTAAAAATGGTGTATGCAAACTACTGGTGGCCACCTCTGTGGCAGCTCGAGGACTGGATGTGAAACAATTAATCTTGGTGATAAACTATTCATGCCCAAATCATTATGAGGATTATGTACACAGAGCGGGACGTACAGGACGAGCTGGCAACAAGGTTAGAGAGTAAAATGTAATGTGTTGGCATATATAGCAAAGAAAGAAATTATCTTTCACTTTGAATGTACACTATATTGCCAAAAGTATTGGGACACCCCTCCAAATCATTGGATTCAGGTGTTCCTATCACCACCATGGCCACAGGTGTATAAAATCAAGCACCTAGGCATGCAGACTGCTTCTACAAATATTTGTGGAAGAATGGGTCACTCTCAGCAGCACAGTTTTCTTTTGATCTTATTCATCCACAAATTAATACAATAGCCTTTTTACTTATCCATGTGGTCTTTAGCAAAATGTTGACGGGCAATGATTAAATTTTTTTTTTTTTTTTTTTTTTTATTTGGATGGTAGTGGCTTTCACCCTACAACACTGGCATGCACCCCATTATTGTTTAGTGTTTTCCTGAAGGCAAACTAATAAACTCTGACATTTGCTAATACAAAGGATGCTTATTATTTAGACATAGGCCTGGAGTTCTTGGACATTATCTTTTGTATTGCCTATCTTGCTCTTGGTGTGATCTTTGCTGGTCAACCAATCAGGAGGAGGCTAACGATGTATTTCCTCCATTTGTGCAGAATCTGCATGATAGTGGACATGTGGAGTCTAAACTCTTTAAAAATGGTTTTGTAACCTTTTTCAACCTGGTGAGCATCAATAACTTTGAAACTTATAAATCTGCTTTTTTTCAAGCTGTGTTGGTTCTACACACCTTGTTTGTTAGCATCAGACTTGAACAGTGAACTTCAACTTCTGTTCTTTAAGGCATGGCCTCAAACAACTCACTCCGGGCTATTCCATGATTTAAACATCTGACAGTCTATTCCAATATACTAAGAAGTCCTTTTTACTCCTTTATTTAAGATATCTAGTTTTAGGACTGAGCGCGGTCACATTTCAGGTCCAATTTTATGCAGAAATATTAAGAAAAGAAAAAGTTTACAAACTTTAAATCACCCCTGTGAACTTTTTCTTGCATTTTCTGTACTATTTACTACTTCAAGAACAGCATGTAGGATTAGTGCTGTGTACAAGCAGCCTTGTTCTGCACTTTTTCTCTGTGGACCTCTTGATAGAGAAGGCATTGCCTCCTTATGTCAGTGCTGCCCCTCTTGATATCTGATGATTTGACTGACTCTTGATGGAATATTCATGAAACACTACAAAAGGTGTTAACACAGAATGAATAATACAGAGGCGGTGAGATCCCTTGCACTTCAGCAAACCGTGAGCAATAAAGTAGTGACTTATCCAGATTCACTCTGTTTACATTATTATAGTGTCCCCAAAAACGCTGCATTAGCGGGATCAGCCCCGGCACCTACCAGCACCTCTGTTTAGCCCCTACGCTTAACCCCCTCCCTCCTTCTCTCACAGCAAGTACAGTGTGAATAGTTCACTGTTACTTGATACATTGCACACAAAAACCACAGTGTTTGCAGAATTAAGCTGGATCTCTGCTTGCACTTGCAGGTATATTTTTTTGTAGCGGCTCAAGCAGTCCCTGACAGCCAAGTGCTCTTTTTCCCATGAGTCGCACTAGGTATTTATAAATTTAGTGGTGGAAATGTCCAACAAAAGGTAGTGAAGAGGCCTACAGGATTCTGAATATGTCAGATGAGAGCGAGGGGAAGCCTCACTGATAGAATCAAGCTCAGAATACGAACCTGTAGACTGGAGCAGCACCCTGACAGCTCAAACTATGGAGAAGAGTTCCCTGCTAAAGTCAGGTGTACCTGACCCCGTTCCCAGGTTGCTGAGATGTTAAAATTGCATGATGATTCTCATATGCAGCAGAGTGCCAATAATAGTGCCGCTCAACCCTATAGTTAACTGGCGATCACCAGTACATCGTGGTATTATGCATACCAGCACTGCAGTATCACTTGATGTGGCGAGTCCAATACAAGCTGGTGCCGGTGGCTAGCACAAGTAGTGTCCCGCAACCACCACACAGGTCCATGTAGATCCCATAGTGTGCTTGCAAATCCTGATTGGCAGCCCACAAATTCTTTACCTCCCCCATTCACTGCCAAACCCAGAATTCAGGTGGAAACAGCAGATTTAATTACTCCTCTTGATTTTTTGAAGCTGACTTTCACGAAAGATCTGTATGCATTGATTGTGGATCAAAGCAATTTATATGCACAACAGTTTATCGCCGCCAACCCATTTCTAACATTGCCAGACCATTTGCATGGAAACCTATTACGGTTTCTGAATTTAAAGTTTTTTTGGGCCTAACCCCCTCAGCATGGTTGTATTGATCCACAGACCCGATTCATCATATGCCCATGTTCTCTGCTACCATGGCCAGGCATATATATGAGAATATAATGCAATTTATGCATTTCAACAACCATACATTTTGTTGTCCTCAGGGTGACTCTGAATTTGACAGACTCCACAAAATTCGGCCCCTCGTAAATCCCCTTAACCAAAAATTTGCAGATGTCTATACTCCCTAGCAAAACATTTGTGTTGTTGAGTCCCTCAGTTTATCTGGCCGCCTTGCATTCAATTTCTCCCCAGCAAGCATGCCAGATATGGGGTATAAGATGTATAAGACCTGTGAGAGGGCAGCAGGCTATACATATAAGTTTCAGATTCACGTGGAGCACTCCAGATACCCAGACTACATGTGAAGCAGTGGCAAGATAGTTTGAGACTTGTCATCCTTTTTCCATATGGGGTACCACTTATACATGGACAATTTTAATTCCAGCATGCCATTAATTAGAGATCTGTACAATCTTGGAATTGGCGCATGTGGCACAATGCGACTTAATTGCCGGGGCTTCCCCCAACGGCTTGTAAATACCCATCTTAAAAAGGGGAACAAAGCCTGCTTGATGAAATGAATTTTTGTCCTATCTACCATTGACGCAGACACGACCATCCAAATTGCCACGACAGCTGGTGTTGAGAAGCCCCTCTGTGTCCACGACTATAACCTTAACATGGGTGGGGTGGACCAGATGATGAATCTGTACTTCGTTTCCTGAAAAGCCAGACACCGGTACAAAAAAGTGTCTGTCTATTTATTTCAATTGGCTCTATATAACGCTTTTGTGCTTTGCAAAGCAACTGGACGTAGTGGATCCTTCCTAAAATTCTAGGAAGAGATCATCACAACCCTTTTGTATCCAGACGGTGCTCTGGCCCAAACCCCCAACCCAGATGCAGTTAGCTGGCTGCATGAGAGGCCTTTTCCTGATGCCATTCTTAGTACCCAAACCCAAAGGACACCCCAAAATAGATGTTGCGTCTGTAGCAGACACGGAATTAGGCCTGAAACCCGCTTTGTTTGTCCCTCCTGTCCTGGTCAACCTGGTCTCTGCCTCAAGGACTGGTTCCGTCACTACCATACACTAGCAAACTATTAGTATAGGGTACAGCACAGTTCAGGACAGATATTTGCACAGGGTCTTGAAAGATGTTAGGTAGTCAGGAAACTGGCTATCGCACTTTGAGAGACCCTACAATCTGTTTTAAAAAGTTAAAGTTTAAAAAAAAAAAAAAAAAAAAAAAAAACCATTTTGAGAGACCCTAATATCTGCTTGTTACAGTTAAAATAAAAATGAAAAAGTTACATTTTAAAACCAAAAAATAGTATTTTTTTTTTTTTGTCCAGTTACTGTTATACTGTTACGGTTTTACTGTTTTATTACTTTTTTATTGTTAACCATTGCGGTTTTCTTTGCAGGAATGTCATTCAGCTGCAGCACCGACTTGTTTATTTTGACAACGGGGTCTTGCCCTGTGAATTTACGTAGTGTGTGTGCAGCGCTGTTGGATGAGATTTTTCATCTGCAGTTAAAAAAGAGCATATATGCCGAATAGACCCCTAGATTTCTCAAAAAAGAATACCTGTCAGTGCCTATTGCAGTCTCGGGATGTTTACATTCCCTGTGATAGCAAGAAAAGTGATCAAAAAATGTAAAAAAAGAAAGACCATGTAAAAATAATAAAAACAAAAATGTAACTAAAAAAGAAAAAAGTTAAGCACCCCCCCCCCCCCCCCCAAGTTTTTAGAAACTGACAAAATATATATTTTTTTTTTATACAAAATTGTCACATAAATGATTTATTGCTCACACATCTCATGGGTATATGTGGAATTACTCCCATGACGTGTGAGCAATATATCATTTAAGTGACAACTTTGTGTAAAAAAATAAATAAAAACATTTTCTGTCATTTTCCAAAAACTTGTGGAAATAAATCTTCCATGGACTCAACATTTTTTCCTTCACTGTATACCCATTGCTTGTGTGAGAAATATATACATTAAACTTTGTGTGCAAAAAAAAAAAAAATGCTTTTGTCATTTTCCTAAAACTTGTGGAAAAACAAATCTTCCATGGACTCAATCTGCCTCTCAGCAGATAGCTTAGGGTGTCTACTTTCTGAAAAGGGGTAAATTGGGGGTGTTTGTACTGCCCTGGTATTTTAGCACCTGAAGAAATATGGTAGGCAGTCTGAAAGTAAAAGTTGTGTAAATTCCAGTATCTATACCATAGTTTGTAGATGCTATAACTTTCACACAAACCAATTAATATGCAGTTATTGGGATTTTTGTTTTACCAAAGACATATAGCAAAATACATTTGGCCTAAATTTATGACGAAATTTAAGTTTATTGGATATTTTTTATGACGGAAATGAGAAAATATTTTTCTTTTCATAATTTTTGGTCTCTTTTTGATAGCACAAAAAAAAAAAAACCCGAGGTGATCAAATACCACCAAAAGAAAAGCTCTATTTCTGTGAAAAAAGACATAAATGTAATTTATGTACAGTATTCCATGACAGCACAATTATCAGTTAAACTAGCGGAGCGCTGTGTAGCAAAAAATGGCGTAAATTGCAGTATCTATACCAGCAATGGGCAAACTACGGCCCGGCGGACCTTTTAATCTGGCCCGCGGAGCTAGACTCCGGCTAGGCTCCTCTCACAGTCCGCCCTGAAGACCGGTGTAGCATGAAAATCT